AAAAAAAAACTCATTTGACTGGTAAACTAACATATTTTATATTTACAGCCGAAAAGGAAAAGAAAGTAGCAGGCCCAGTTTCCGGAGGGTCTAGAATAGTTTGGGCTTGTCCATTTCTCCTCTTTTGGGCTTTGCACTACCCAATACTCTTACCAGCATCGGGCCATCGGCGTAAGGTAGCGTTCCGGCGTCTGTAGTCCAAAAACTGCGTTACGGCGACAGAAGTCCAAAAACCAGCTTAGGACCGAGCATGAGCTCAGCAGATCTACCACGGACGGAGGCTAACGTGCTCCGGGGGCACGAAGGTGCAGTATTAGCAGCACGGTTCAACTCGAACGGCGAGTATTGCCTGAGTTGCGGCAAAGACCGCACCATACGGCTTTGGAACCCTCACCGTGGATTGCACATCAAGACCTACAAATCGCACGGCCGTGAAGTTCGCGACGTTCACGTCACCCCGTACGAGCCTGCTGGTTTATTGGTTAAGTATTCATTGGATTGGCTGGCTGCAGGTTTTTTTTTTTTTTTTTAATTGGAATTTTCTGGCAGGGATAATTCGAAGATATCTTCATGTGGAGGCGATCGGCAGGTGTTTTACTGGGATGTGGCCACCGGTCGTGTTATTCGGAAATTTCGTGGTCATGATAGTGAGGTAAGGGGAAATGAACCTCTTTCTTGGTCGATTGGTTTCACTAAATTGCATTGTTATTTGTTTGCAACTGGGGGTTGATGCAAATATATGTGTCGTAAGAGTGACAACTTTATTGGTGAAGATTATTAGAGTTTAATCTTGGATCTCTAGTTAGTGAGAATGTTAATGTAATGTGTTAGCCTTGTAAAGTTGTTTTTTTTTTTTTCCGGCAAAAAGTTCATTGAACGTAAGTTATATTCATCATTTTGTACAATTGTGAGAATCAGATCAATGTGACGACATAAATAAATGTAACTTCCGGATGTGGAGTCGAGGAAAGGTACCAACTTACATGGAGAACAGCGCTTTCCTTTTACTGGAGGAATGATATAGGAAAGGGAAATGAACAATGTCTGATTGAGCAGTAGGGCTGAGAATTATGGTCAAAATCAGTCTTCATTGTTGGAAGCTTTTTCGCATCTCTTTCATTTATTTGCCTTGTCTTACCAGACAGGCTTCAAAATATCTTCTTAGATTATCATGAGGGTTTTTTATGACTTGAGATTTTGTTGGATTTGGAACTGTAGTTTCTACATTACGTTATTGGTGGATAACATTAACTTGATCCAGGTAGTAATGTTAATCTGTCTGGTTTAGTAGATTGCACAACTTTGCAAACCCTTGAGGTATACTTTGTGGTATGGGGTTGCTGCTACTCTTAAAATCTAATTCTGTCTATATATATTGTTGTGTTAAAAGAGATCGTTGAAGTATGCATTTTCTATTATCCACGGATTATATAAATGTTATTGGGATAAAATAAACAAGTTTATAGTGTATATATGTTTCTAATGAATCGTAGGCATTCTGCGATAGTATTTTTTATTTGCAAGCTCAAGTGACAGCACTTGCTTGGTTTTTTCATTTACATTCTGTTTTTCCTTAGACTAGTATCTGATGATATTGTTTTGTCTTGTTATCAGGTAAATGCTGTGAAATTTAACGAGTATGCATCAGTTGTGGTATCAGCTGGGTATGACCGTTCTGTGCGTGCTTGGGATTGCAGATCTCACAGCACCGAGCCTATTCAGGTTTACTCTTTTCCTTTTCCTTCATGGACAATGAGTTTAGCACTCCATAGAAGTTTTGTGTCCAATTCAATTTCAGGAAGAAAAATCCATTTCTTCTTTCTTTTCAAAGATGAAACACCCAACCAAAGACCCACACAATTGGTGCTGATTGTAAAGGGTTATGTTAGTGTGAATAGGTCATGGCTGCCCTTCTCTGATTATTACTTCAATTGATATTGGAAAGGTTATTGTGATCGAAAATTGAATATTTTCTTGGCAAATTGTATGCGTACGATATTTTTGTTGACTCTGGCCATGTGGGTCATTCTTCTGAGAAAATTCTGAAATTCTTGGCTTTTGAGTGGTGAAGTAAATGACAAAGAAATTTGGGGATGAAGCTGTCCTCATTCCATCATATGCAAACTATGAAATATCTAAGTGTCACAGGCTATGTGACTGGTAAGACAAGAAAACAGAAGAAAATGTTTTGAAGGAGAAAGGACATAGGTGGAGATAAATAGGTGAATGAAGTATGAACAACTGAATGGAACTCCATTCGGCACTCAGACAATCGAAAAATCTTAGCCTGACATGCTTAAAACAAAGTTGTTTGAAGTTAAGTTATGTAACATCCTTAAACTTCAAAGCTTTCACCATTCTGTCTACTTGTGGATTGAACTGCACATCAAAATTCAAAGACTACATTAGAACTAGGGTTTCCAATCTTTCTTAGCATATAATTTACTGCAAGGACAACCAACTTCTTGATTTAATTGCAGTAAGCATGTTTTTTCTATAAAATTTCTGACTTGTTACTTGCATATCTTTCTAATGTACTATCTTTTTCCTTGCCAAGCCTTGCTCCTGCATCCATGTATTATGTCCACTATGTTGTAGATAAGTTGACTACATCCTTCCTGACCTTAACTTGGGAAGTTGTAATATTTTGCAGACCATTGACACCTTTTCAGATAGTGTCATGTACTTTGTTAGAACTTTACTCTTGATTTAATTGCATTAAGCATTTTTTTCCTGTATAGTATCTATTTACATTTTAGACTTATGATTACTTTCTAATCTACTTTCTTGCAATATTTTGCAGATTATTGACAATTTTTCAGATAGTGTCATGTCAGTTTGTTTAACAAAATCTGAGATAATTGCTGGAAGCGTTGATGGAACTGTTCGAACATTTGATATTCGAATGGGTAGGTACGTGGCTTTCACAATGACAATCGACATTTAACATACTTTTTCGTCATCTTTCTGTTATTTTTTCCCACCCTTTGTTCCTCAAACGTCTTATCCATTTTATGCATGATATATAAGCTTACCTGTGACCTTTTCATGGATGTCATCAGAGAAATATCTGATAATTTGGGGCAGCCTGTCAACTGCATTGCTCTCTCAAATGATGGCAACTGTGTATTAGCCAGCTGTCTTGATTCTACTTTAAGGCTTTTGGACAGGTATATCCTTTTGTTGAAATTTTACTTTTGGAATTATCCGTAAATCTTTTGTACGTTACTCAAATAGATTCATCTTCCCTGGCAGATCTACTGGTGAATTGTTGCAAGAATATAAAGGCCATATTTGCAAGGTTCACCCTGAAACTTACGATGATACTTATTACTGTTTTTCTTGTTTACGTTCACTCCCATGCATGTCTGTCTCATGAAATAAACTTATGCTCCTTTTCAATTTTGTCTTATTTCAACCAGTACTTCTTTGTTGCTTAAGTGTTATGGCAGCTTTTACCTTCATTCCAAGCTTAAATTTCAAATTGTTAACTTTCTTTTATCAGTCATTCAAGATGGACTGCTGCCTAACAAACTCAGACGCCCATATCACTGGAGGTTCGGAAGATGGTTATGTTTATTTTTGGGACCTTGTTGATGCAAATGTTGTCTCCAGCTTTCGAGCTCATTCTTCAGTGGTAAAGTTGCTTTTCTTATGTGTTGTCAATTTATTTATTCTTTTGTCGTGTTCTTATACTCATTGTACATTCTCAACGTACATGGGAAGTGTTTTTTTGCAAGTCAAATAATTGAATGAGGAAACATCTGAGGTGTTTTCTTATCATTACTTATCAAAAGAACCTCTTCAAGCTTCTGGTTATCATTCGTATTAAATAATATTTTCATATTTCATTTTCTTGACTCTTTACTCTTATCAAGATATCTTAAAAATTTTAACCAATCCATTCTAACAAATACTCCTCTCTTGAGGGAATATTTTGTAAAACACAGACAAAGCTTCAGAGCAATTTTTTTTTTTTTTACACAAGTCTTTTCTTGGTTTTTGGCTTAATATTGGTAGTTAAGCCGTACTCTGACTTCACTAAGTACTAGTAGTATCTCTTATGATCCACACAATGAAGTGGAAACATTCTTATCATTAACATATTGTTAAGGCTAACACTTGTTAAGCTAGAAGATTCAAGGATGCCATTTTAAAACTGATGTGTCGATGGACTTACCTTATTTTTTTCCCTTATTGTTAAATTTCACACTTTCAATCTAAAAACCTTTTTCTCTCTCTTCCCACTGGTTGATAGGTAACGAGTGTTAGTTATCACCCAAAGGATGACTGTATGGTTACTGCTTCAGTTGATGGAACAATTCGTGTTTGGAAAGCGTGAGAAAATAAAGACATTACGGGATTCTTGGCTTCAAGTCGCCTTTTTATATTATCTTCTTGAATATTTTGATTGGACCTCAGAAGAGAGCAATTCGTTCGTAGTTCAGCCAGTGATGGATATCAAACTCAAGAAATGTGGTGGTATTTTTGATTCTCTAAGTGCAAGAAGTTTGATGTGCACAAGGACAGGCTTCATTATATGTACTTAAGTTGATACATATGAAGCATGTAAATGTTGGTCCTAGGCCTGAAATCTCAGGCTTAAAAAAAAAAAAAAAAAAAAAAAAAAAAAAAAAGAGGTAGAAACAGTTTTATTCGGTTAGTTTTGGTGGACTTGTTATCCTGTATTTCAAGTTTCTCTGACCATGAATGAAAGCTTACACAAGTGGTAATGCCTGTAACTGACGTGTTTTTTGTGGAATTGTAAAAAATTTGATGAATTTTAACCTTATACGAATGAAAACATCTCTATATTCTCAGAAGTTCATATCGAATAATCAATAACCGAATAGAGAAAGCATACCTGACGGATTCATTTCGATTGATTGTGTTGGAACAATAATTTGGGTTTTGAATGTGGAATTTGGAGAACTTCCAAAAGGCCGTGAACCCTATTATTTCTTTTGAAAGAAACTGATGGAGATAGTGGGGATGGACGCATGGTTTCTTCTTATTATCCTAATGATAACAATCTTCCACTAGATTAAATGTCCTGACAATACATTATACCTTACGAGCTCAAAATATGGTTATTATTACAGAACTTGAACAATCTGGTCTATTAATCATAACTACATAGGACTAGAGCAATTTTCTTCATATAAACACAACTAAACTATCAATAATCACATATGACCATGGTTAAATGGCATAGATCAACTGTGGAACATGTGGCGTGAAAATTACATGAATGTGAGCTATCACATGTCAATTCTCAATTAGTCCAAACTTAATGAGATCGTAAAGTACTAAAACATAATGCACAAAGTGTCATGAACCAAAACTTTATTTCTAATCAGAAAGTATTTTATATATCATCGAATATAAATGACAAGAATGTAGCATTCACTTCTACTAGAGTGAAACTTCCTCAATATGTAACACACTCATGTAAGCAGTATGCTCGTGAAATACCGTAGGTGTTACACCCTTTGTTAGGGGATCTGTTAACATAGATTATGTCCCTAAGTTTTCGATGAAAATATAACCACTTTGTACCAACTATATACGCAATATTCGGACGAGTACATATTTGAGCATACATTAGGCTCCCAACCGCCAAGACATAAGGAATCTTTTGCATCTCCTAAATATCCAAATTTCCCTTTGGCCATTGACTAAGGCTAAATTTGTCTCTGTTAGCCTCAATGGTACGTCACAGTGTGTTGTTTTGCATGTCAAACCGCTCAAACACATTATTAATACAACTATTTTGTGATAACCTTCGAATACCTCGAGATCGCTCTCGGTGTATCTAGATTCATAATACAAAAGATGTTTCACCAAAATCTTTCATCTCGAAGTTATTCAAAATAAATTTGTTAGTTTCGTGCGAAATGCACATATAGTTCGTGACAAGCAGCATGTCATCCACATACCAAACTAAAAATAAATTTACTCTTATTGGGCTTGTGATATCATCAACAACATTCATCTCAAAAGCATACCAGATAATTACTTGATGAAATTGTGATGCCATGTCTTAACGTTTGTTTGAACCCATAGATGGATTTTCTTAATTTACATACTATTTTCTTCCGGACATCGACCTCAAAGCTTTCTGGTTGTACCATATAGATCGTTTCATCAATGTCACCATTAGAAACGCCGTCTTTAAACCCATTTGATGGAGCTCCAAGTCAAAATGTATCACTAGATCTATGATTGTTCTAAAAAAAAAGTCATGCAAAGAAACCAGAGAAAAGGTCTTTGTAGTCAACCACTTTCCTTTGAGTATATCCTTTAGGTACAAGACGCGTTTTATACCTCTCCACATTATCATTCGCATCTTTTTTGGTTTTAAAAATACATTTGGAACCAATGATTTTTACACATTCTGGTAATAAAAAAGTTCTCAAACTCTATTGTCTTGCACTGATTTATACTCTTCACACTACTTCAATCCATTTATTTGAGTTCTTTCATGACTTGTTTGAGGCGGGTCATCCTCATTCAAACCACCCACATCCTCATATTTTTAACAATTATCCCGTCCACTAAGTTCCCTTACTTTTACATCAACTTTGGTGATCACATTTTAAATAGGATTTAATCACAAACTTAAAATCATCCATTCATTAACTTTATTTAAAATAACTCCTTTTCACCAACTATATACAACCAAAACCGAATGACACCAAGTCATAAATCATTTATACTTTCCCCGGCCAAAATTCTCCAATCAAACAAACCCCCTTCCAAACTTCAAATCAGTTAACACTAAACTTGAAGAAAGTAGAGTACACGTTTTATTCTATTTGAACTTACCTACTTTCATAACTGGAGTGACTGGTTAATGGCGTTACTCTCAGAGCCACTCTAGGCTAAGGTGGGCTCCAGCCCCATGTCCAAGAATAAAAAAAAAAAACTA